AGAGATAGATAGATAGATAGATAGATAGATAGATAGACAGATAGATAGATAGATAGATAGATAGATAGATAGATAGATAGATAGATAGATAGATGGATATATAAACAGATAGATAGATAGATAGATCGATAGATAGATAGATAGATAGATAGATAGATAGATGCACACACACACACTCACATACAAAAAACACAAGGAAAATACACACATAGAAAATAAAACCACGTATTCTAATATGTCTCCCTTAAAACATGGGTACAAAGAGACCTAATCTATACAAACAAAAGGACTTACGTATATCACACCGGTCACCCCTGTACTCCGTAGCAGTGCAGTCGCATAGGACGCCATTGTCCGTCGTCAGGCAACGGCCTCCATTGAGACACGGGTTCCCGCGCTCACACAGGTCCACGTCTGTCGTTAATAAACCAGCAGACGACAAAGGCTGCGGCCTGACCGCCTCGCCACCACAGCTCCTATAGAAAAAGTTCCTAACTGATCCTCGGAATTTTGGCTCGAAGATCACGGACGGTAAAGCGAGTGAGTTAAACTTTTTGCTCTCATATTCCATAGGAAGACCTCCGAGGTATAAGAAAGTCTCATTGGCTAAGCCGTTGTATGTGTGCAAAAGCCCGGATGAGGTTTTGCTGTGCTCAATTCCGTCCACGATCAAGGTTGTCAAGTCGCCGTCTTGGACAACCTCCACCGAATGCCATTTGTTGTCATTCAGATTTTGACCTGTGGATAAAATGCCAAGGTTACAGGGCAATCATGAAGTTTGAGGTAAAAAAAGGTTGGAAGCAAAGTAGGTGAAGCAGTGTAAAGTGAAGATCAGGAACTGTTGTATAATGTGTTGACAAATCAAACGAGCGAACAACGTTTTTTTGCCATTTAGTCACTCAATCAATTGATGGATCAGTCAGCAATTAACGAACAAAGGTACAAATCAACTCATGGTTCAATTGCCCCACGGACTAGTTTTTCATACTTCGTACGTCTGTTAAGTATCTAGTGTGTTGAATGCTACTGAAAACACTAAAGGTTCACTTAAGGGGCAAGACACTCCGATAGGGCCGAGACAAATAATTATGTGTATAGCCTTGAAAACGCGTAAAAATACAAAAAAACAAACAACAAAAACAACCAAATACCTGGTCACCCCCCTCCTCCCTTTGGAATTTCAAACCAAGCTAATCCGCTCCAAAGCCTAACATGATACCAAAGCCCAGCAACACCAATTACATTATAGGCGTGTCTGTTTTTTTATACCAAGAGTGTATGCCACGCAAATTACCAATAAATAAACAGAACTACACAGACGGCTGAACACACCAAAATCATGAGAGTGACGCGTTCCTCTGCGGACCAGCCAGACATACAAAGTAATTCTCTGCACCCTTGGCAAATATTGGACATCGAATTTGAGTGACGTCTGAATTATTCCCTTTGTTTTGGAACAGATCAAACAGCTTAGTCCACAAAGGGCCCTCGCTGGGAACTAGCAACACTATCCGAATTCTGTCTTGTCCCGTGTTAATCGTCACTTGAACGAAAAGGCCTGATATCTTCCCTATTCACCGCGGAAGGAAGAAAAAGCTGAGCTAAAAATAGGGAGTCAGGAGTTGTATCAGTCTATTTAGTGTATTCAGCCCACAGCACGGTTCACTCAGGGTAAAAACTAGAATTTTGATGTGTCCCTCTACAAAAGTGTAGGGAGAAGGAAATTCTTATCCGTGGGATTTTAAACTCTTATTTTAGAAATGGCTTCGCAATCAAGGTGAACTTTCCGTTTTCAGCCAGTTATCATGGCAGTCTTGCCACGTATGCAAAACAGCTCTTTCAACTGAAATATTTGAAGACAACAATCGAGAAAGGATCAAAATCACAACTCTAAACTATTGAAATATAATGTTCTATATCATCAAGTGCACTAAGTTCCACAGTTTGTTTTTAAAAAGCTGTCAAACAGAACAACAGTTTCAGTTCATTGGAAAAACGATCAATGCCCAGTTTCTTTTGAATTTAACATATTGATTATCCCAAAACCTAAAAATATGAATGTAATTGTTTACCCATTATGATGCTCATTTTGAGTGAAAAAAATCTCAACCTGACGAAATGTATTTCTGAAATATGTAGAATAAATATAAAAACAGAAATTAATAATGTCGTTTTTAAAGCTCTTTTCCCAGTCAACCCTCTGGTCATTAAACTTGTCATGGGGGGGGGGGGGGGGAATCAATCAATCCAACTATATAAAAACAAACCAGACACAGCAAAAGAAACACTCACCAGCCCTTATGATCATGGTTCTCTCCCCTAGATTCATCCTCAGCCGAATCCCACCTTTGAGAAGTTTCACCTCGAAGTAAGAGTAACTCCCCCTGTTGAGGTAGAGCAGCAGAGAAAGCGGTTCCGAAGTGCGGAACTCGAAGGAGAAGGAACCGTTCAAGCACGGTTCCCATGGTGGGTATTCCACATAGGAACCAGGAGAACCGTCGAGGTTAAGAGTGAGTGCGCATGGCAGCCGACACAAGATGGCGGCGAAGATGGCGACTGCCAAGGTCAGACACTGGAGATGTCTAGGCGAGAATGGGAAGAGTTCCACAGCCATTTCTGCTTTGGAGAAGGCAGGCGAGTTTAGTTAAGGGAATTAGCCTCGAGCAACGTGAATATTACATGAACACCTTTTCTGGGGTACTCCAGAACCGTGTATCCCAAGCAAAGCCGTGAACGGTTTGAAGTTCAATTCTTCGTCTTCTCAACAGGTGCTGAGCCAACAGAATTCAGCGTACGATTCAGTTGTATCCAACTACCAAACCACCATCGAAGACAGTTTAGAGTCCGCAAAATACCACATTCACTGAACAATAAGATGAAAAGCAGTCCTGACAACAGGTAGGAAGTTAATATCTAGTCAGAAAGTTGGAAGGAAGCCTACGACATTTCGCCTGACTCCTGAACAAAAGGTTCTATCTCACGTGAACACGAGTACGAAATACAGACGCATTTCAGTGACGTAATGACATTTAGCGCCGTACTAGAGCGTGGATACGATCTGAGAAATGTGTAGCAAAAGTCAATTCATGTTGTGGGCGTCATGTTGTCACGAGAGAGAGGAGATCTTGACGTCATCGCTTCGAGTGTACTGTTGATGAAAAAGATGGTGGTCTCGGTTGTCATGATCGGCAGCATCCTTGGTGACGTCACGCCTTTCTGTCAAAAATAGAAGAAAAAAAAACCCCGATAAGAGAGATAGTCAGTTTGCAACATTAACCGGTATAAGTGAGGTCGTTTCTTTATTACTATGAAAAAAGACGATTTCACGCTAACACGCACGAGTTGAACCCTGACCTCAATAAGGGTGCACAGATATACACATTATCACACGCACAATATGGGCAAACGTCTGCACCACCTTCAAACACATCTACACTAAGAACAAGTAAACAGGCCCAAACACAAGCACACATGCTTACACGAATAAACACACACAAGCACATGCATCTACATGAATAAACATGTAGACTCATACGCATGCAAACATACAGGTACGAACCAAAACACACTATAAATTATAATTAATCACATATATAATATGATCACAAACATACTCACTATCTCTCTGTCTCTCTCTGTCTCTCTCTATCTCTCTCACTCTTTCTCTCCCTCTCTCTCTCTCTCT